CGAAACACCTACGTGTTCACCCGGCTTATGAAGAGAGGTCTCGGTAGCATCGGTTTCCGAGACCTCACCACCCGAAAACCCAATAGTTTGAGGTCCTTCTCGCCTTTCTCTAGCCTGGCCTTTAGTTCAGCCACGGCTTCTCTTCTTTTGATTCTATCTTCCAAAGGCCAATCAGGCCTTATTTTTAGACTTTTGTCGTTGACTTTGAACGCATTGTCGAGGATGGTCCTCCTCTCTGTTTCGTTCCCTAAAACTACCTTAAGTAGTCGTCGAGGAGTTCCTGTAGCTCAGGGTTTCGTTTTCCGATCCTGATAGCCTTTCGTACGTGTACTCCAGTTGTTTTTTCGGGAAGTATTTCCCGGAATATGGAGCTGATCGCCTTCAGATCATCTGCATGTCGGGCAGCTGGATCTGTGTTCTTAGATTCCTCCAAGTTCCAGATGATTATACTGTAACTAGAGTCCGTGGGTTTCTGAGTTTTGATGGAACTAACAGTCGTCGAGACCTTGTTGGTAAACTCGGCTACTGTTTCTTTCCTAGTTTTGTTTTGCTCCTTACCTTTCGGCAGCAACCAAGTGGAGTCCGTTTCTCCCACTCTGTTTTCGCCGCGACTAGAAGCCATTCGTGCACTAGACACGCTGCGCTGGTAAACCACGTTGACCGCTTCACTTATTTGGATAGTTGCATCAGCTAGCGCCATCAGACTGATCGCTGACGAAATCTCAGCACAAATACACAAGGCCCGTCCAGCCTATGCCAGTTTACGCCGTCTCTGGAGTAGATGTGGTATCTGGATATCGACCAAAGGGCGTGTGTACTGCTCAGCAATTCCCTTATGGCTGTGAGACATGGCCATTGAAAGTGGAAGACATGAAAAGGTTGGCTAGCTGTCTGTGATTATAGGTGCCTGTACTCTACCTCTCGTGTTAGGTGGTAAAATAGGGTGAGCAATATTGAGGTTAGGCATCAGTCAAATGCTAGGTACGGAGAAGGGAATATCACTCGACTAGATTGTGAAGTTACATCGACTGAGATGGTTAGGACATGTGTTGCTTATACCTAGCCATCGTCTTCTTCGTCGGACATGTTAGCTGGCATAGGATGGATCAGTTTGGAGAAAAGCCAGTGGTGGTCAAACCAAAACATGGCTTCATTAGTCAATGAAATCCACAATAGTTAGTTTGAGCCACATAAGAAGGTGTAGACTGGTGTCTGGTTAGGGTCCTCTGGATGGTGAAAAGCAAAGACAGTTGAAGACAATTGGTGATATGGCTTAAAATCGTTTACAGCGTCTAGCGCAAATGCATTCACTCCTTGTAATTAATAAATCCACTGACATTTTACTGTCCTTCCGTATTACTATTCTTTTTTGACTCATATTTCTGTTTATTATCTGTGTATTGAATCTCTTTCTACTCTCTTCTCTTGCTGTGTGTGCTACATGAAGGGAGTGTGGTAGTAGAACTGCTGTACATCTGTGCAAAGTTCTACGTTGAAACCAGTCAGTCCGCCAGTGAGTTAAGTCTTCATTCCTTCTAGTTTCTCCATTGTGAAATTAATTTGTATTGCAGTATGAGCCAGAATTCTTAAGTTGTTTCGGTTTGTTTTTCCATTTGTCACACACTTTGCATACTATCAAGCTGGAACTTTTTTTCCTTCACGTTCCCCAGTGAAACATAGGGCTTCAAGCTAGTGGCTTGAAGTTTCTGTAGCAGTGTTTACTTTACAGGATGGGGTTACTAGCCTCATGTCTAACCTTTCCTCTTTACCAGCATTATTTCTGGCTTAGCAAGGTTAAAGGAGTGCGTCGGCCGGGAATTGAACCCCGGACCATGTGCATGTTCGGCGAGCGTCCTAACCGCTATGCCACCAACGCAAACCTGCAAGTACTGGACAACTCTTTTGTCGTAGTGTGGAACTCTTTGCAGTACGCGCCATCGGGGTTTGAACCCAGGGCCTTGTGGTTAAAGGCGAGCTCGTATACCTTAAGTCACTGGGACCTGAAACTTATTCATACAGCCTAAATCGTCCATAAATAGTTGGCTTATTTCGTTTCTAACTCATTGTGCATCGACAAAGAGGTATTTATCTCTCTGTAGAAATTGGACATTGCGAATGAAAGTGGTATACTTTCTAAGACCAACGATTACGTTTTAATATCTTTATTTGTCTCACTTTCTTTTCCCTTATCATACAAACAGCTGATTAAATTGTAACCGTTGTCAATTGTATATGGCTTATACAAGTCGAGGTGATGCTAGCGGTATCTTAACAACACCAAATTATGTGCTGGATACAAATCTTGGCAGTAATAAACTACGTGTTACAATTCAAATTCAAGGTTTAAAATCATCAACTGTACTAGAATTTCAAAAAAGCTAATTCCAAAACTTTATAAAAAGCCAACTAATGGTGAAATTGTATTCGATTTACACGATAACGGTTTTCTATTTGAATTTCATGGTCAACAGGCATTAAAAGATCAAAATTATTCCCTGCATATTCATCAATTACCCGGTGTATTAGATTATAAACGATCACAGTTAATTGTACGCGAAGATGCTGTCGAGATTATTTTAATAAAGGCGGATAATACTTCATGGTCATCATGTGTAATTAATGAAGGTTTAAAGATTGCTGAAAATGTTAAAAAATAAACTTTAATTCAGTTTAGTATTGGTTGTATACTATATCACACCGGTGTATAGGTAATATATGTACATACGTATATACACAGATGTGTGTATTTGTTAACTTTCTTGTCAAACAAACCTGCTTTTATTTGCCTGGGTTGCTCCTATTCTCTCCTTTCTGTCTCTATCTCTCTCCGTCTTTCCTTTATGCAGTTTATTTGCCGGATACTAAGTTAAGCATTGCCTATTATGTTGACTTTTGACAAGTAAATAATTGCTTTCGTTTTGTTTTTTGGTGCTTTGTATACTCCCAGTGATGATGTTGATGACAATCGCAGTTTATTCCTTACTTGTTATTATTAATTTTGTTTTTCTTGACCGTAAAGTATATTTATTTTTTTGTTAAGACTACTGTTGTAATATTTATTCATTTATTGATTTAATTCAAGTTAATAAGATAAAAATAAACATCTTTGTTTAAGTTGATTTTGTTCTTTCGGTTGAATCATTGAACCGAAATGTTCTATGTCTATGTTGATGCTTCAAAGATGTCTTAAGCTGGTTTACATGGTGTTATTTAATAGAATGGTAGATGAATAAAGTTTTGGCGTTTGAAATGATGTGTGCTATTTTCGATTTTCATAATTTATGCGAGGACTAGGATACTCATCGGATGATCAGACCGAAGCAGATAGTCGTATTAAAGGACCACTTTCCGAGCTTTGAATTGTGTAGCCTGATCTATAATGTAGTAAAGCAATATCAGGCGGTAGGTTCCCATGGTTTTCCATAACCAAAACACGTTCATACACCTTACCATCCAATCGGATTCTGGAGCCCATGTACACACCGCAGGTTTGGAATTGGGTCTTTGTAGCTCCCTAGGTAGACCACCATATCCACCGGTCCGGATATAAGCGTCAGACGTTCACTTCTGCCCCTTCACTTTCGTGAGGAACTCCGGTTCGCTGCAAGAAGGAAGTGAATACGACTTACTTCTAGAGATGGCACATCAACAATCGCAGTCATACAACAATCCTGTTACACCTTGCGCGTCCATTTCTTTACATGATGTACCTCATTCATCAGATTCCACACCCTCCGTCAATGAAACAACCATTGCTGCCGTTGAATCCAAATGCTTTTTCTGTGGTAATCGTAGACATCCTCGTTCCAAATGCCCCGCCCGTGATGCAGTTTGCAAAGCTTGTGGCAAGCAAGGACATTTTCAGAAGGTTTGCAGGTCTGCGCCATCTACGAAAAAAGGTCCATCTTCAGTTAACTCTATAATTTCATCTCTCGTTGTGGCTTCAGCACCTCAAAGTCTCACTGATGCTGTTACGCAGCTTACTGTCAATGGGAAATCAATGCAAGCTCTAGTGGATACCGGAAGCAGTGAGAGCTACATCTCTTCCTCAGTTGTTCGTAAGTATAACTGGAAAGTCCATAAGTCTCGAAACAGAATCACAATGGCGAGTACGAATCTTACTAGTCATACTGAAGGACATTGTTTTCTATCCATCTGCTATAAAAACCACACTTATGATCTATTCAAATTTTCCATTCTTCATAATTTATGTGCAGACGTCCTTCTTGGACATGATTTTTTAAAACTTCACAAACACATTGAGATTCCTTTTGGGGGATCAAAGCCGCCTTTTTCTCTCTGTGGTCTACCTTGTGTTCGCGTCGACCTGCCTACTCTGTTTGAAAATCTTTCAAAAGACTGTAAACCGATCGCGATAAAATCCCGGCGTTATTCTCGTGAAGATGAAAGTTTTATTTCCACCGAAGTCAACCGGTTACTGCAAGAAGGTGTTATTGAACCTTCTAATTCTCCTTGGCGAGCTCAAGTTCTTGTTACGTCAAACGAACGCCATAAAAAGAGGATGGTAGTTGATTATAGTCAGACAATCAATCGATTCACTTTTCTGGATGCTTACCCATTACCTAGGATTGACGAAATGATAGAAAAAATCGCACAATATGACATATTCAGCACTCTTGATCTGAAGAATGCTTATCATCAAATTGCCCTAAGGAACGAAGATAAACCATATACTGCTTTCGAGGCTTGTGGGAAACTTTACCAATTTTGCCGAATTCCTTTTGGTGTTACCAATGGCGTAGCTTGTTTTCAACGCATTATCGATGAATTGATCAGTAAAGAACAACTCACAAGCACGTTTGCCTACATTGACAATGTCACTATCTGCGGCAAAACTCAGGAGGAACACGACAAAAATCTAAACAAGTTTATGGTAGCAGCACGCAATTATGGAATAACCCTTAATGATTCCAAAAGTGTGATCTCAAGCAGAAGCATACAATTACTCGGTTATGAAGTTTCAAAGGGGGTTATTAAACCAGATCCCGATCGGCTAAAACCTCTTCGTGATCTAGAACCACCCACAGATATCAAATCTCAACAACGGGCCGTTGGATTATTTGCTTATTATTCACAGTGGATCCCTCGCTTCTCAGATAAAATCCACCCATTGGTAAATAATCGGATTTTCCCTCTTGATATCGAAACTCGAAATGCTTTTGACAAACTGAAAGACGACTTAGAACGTGCAGTCGTTGTGGTAGTTGATCCGAAAGCACCCCTTGTTGTTGAAACAGATGCTTCAGATGTCTCAATTGCAGCTACATTAAACCAGAATGGTAAACCTGTCGCCTTCTTTTCTCGAAGCCTCTCTCGAAGTGAGAAACATCATTCATCGGTTGAGAAAGAAGCCTATGCCGTGGTTGAAGCAATTCGTAAGTGGAAGCATTACCTTCTCGGAAATCACTTCAAACTTGTCACTGATCAACGTTCAGTAGCATTCATGTTTGACAAGATTCATAAAGGCAAAATCAAGAACGATAAAATAATGCGTTGGAGAATTGAGCTATCCCCTTATCAATATGACATCATTTATCGTCCTGGAAGGGATAATCAAGCTGCTGATACATTTTCCCGTAGTTTCTGCGGTTCCTTGCAGTCAGTGTGCGACTTGAAATTTCTCCATGACTCTATGTGCCATCCTGGAGTTGTCCGAATGATGCATTTTGTACGCTCGAGAAACCTTCCATTCTCCCTTGACGAGGTGCGCAATGTAACCAGTAAATGCGTGACATGCTGTGAGTTAAAGCCTCAATTTTACAATCCCTCTAATTTCAAACTCATAAAAGCAACCCAACCTTTTGAAAGGTTAAGCATCGACTTTAAAGGACCTCTACCGTCAGCTAGCCGCAATCACTATCTGCTCACGCTGATCGATGAATATTCTCGATTCCCCTTTGCATTCGCCTGCCCCGACATGTCGTCTCAAACGGTAATGAATTGCCTTTGCCAACTGTTTTCGATTTTCGGTATGCCTTCTTACATACATACCGACAGAGGCGCTGCTTTCATGTCTACCGAATTACGGGCATTTCTTCTGGAGAAAGGCGTAGCAACCAGTCGTACTACCTCATACAATCCTCAAGCCAATGGGCAGGTCGAGCGCCTCAATGGAACACTTTGGCGTGCCATCACTCTAGCATTAAGATCACGGGGCCTACCAACGGCACAATGGGAGTCTGTTCTACTCGACGCCTTGCATTCCATCAGATCTTTGCTCTGTACTGCAACGAACGCCACGCCACACGAACGACTGTTTACCTATAACCGAAGATCGACATCTGGGACAACTCTTCCTACTTGGCTCACTGTACCAGGACCAGTACTTCTCCGGCGGAGTGTTCGTCAGTCCAAATTCGATCCCCTGGTTGAAGAGGTGGAGCTATTGAATTGTAACCCGCAATTCGCTCACGTTCGCTTCGGTAATGGACGTGAAGATACAGTTGCTCTTCATCATCTGGCACCCAAAGGCGAAGATATAGATCAAGTTGAAAATTCAATACCGGAGGGCGACGCAATTCCTGAGCAACAAGTAAATGGGGATGCGACCACTGATCCTAATATTCTTCGTGAAGAAAATACAACTGAAACGAACAACGGGCGTATTCTTTTGGAAAAACAACAACGTGTACGGCCTTACAATTTGCGTACCAGAGAAGCGTGACATAATGGCTCATTCCTTTTCAAGCCGCAGTGAATGTTGTGAACTTTTCTTATAATACGTATCTAGTCATATTCATATCTCTACCGCTATTAACACTCTTTTTTCCTTTATATGTTTAAGCCATTCCGGCTTCATTGTAAAATGAATAAAGCCTAAATTCTTGGTTCATTCGTCTTTTCAAGATTCAAGCATCACTCATCGTTCTAAGACTCAGTTACCTTCGTAACAATCATTTGCTTACCACCTGTGATTTCCTTTAATAACTTCCACATATTAGATGGGGATTTACATGAAAGAAACTTCTGGTTATAGAGAGCATTCAATCTTTGTAATTCAAGCTTAATCAGTGTTCATTCTTTTAACACCAGATTTGTTTTTCATTTCGAACAACCTTTATTTTTCACGGCGGAGCTTTTTGAGTTGAGAAGAGGAGAAGCGATCGAATTTTAAGAAGGCTGTCTCTTTTGGACAACAAACATTAAGACAGAAGTTAAGATAATGTGTTATGTTGGTAATTGTGTTATCAAGAGCTTGTTCAGTAAATAAATCCCAGTTAGTGTCTTTTAACATGGACCTTAGATTCAGTATGTTGTCATGGGAATAACATCTATGTTGTGTTTTCTTTCCAAGGTGTGAGAAGACCCTTTTGTGCTGCTTTCCATATACTTTGGGCAATATTCTTATGATACAGTGATCTGAATTTAGTAGTGGGGCTCTTTTTCGAGCTTCAAATATTCCTGCGTCATTTGTAAACACAAGATCAAGAAGGTTATCCATTCTAGTCGGGAAGTTGACAATGTTATCATGTCCAAGTGAAATTAGGAAGCTGGGATCACTAGAATTGAAATCTCCAGTAACTATAGACAAGGAATTTCCGAAGGAGGTGGCAGCAAGGGAGGTAAATTCATCCACAAATAAAGATAATTCTGTGGAATTGCATCCAGGAGCAATATAAACGTTCGGGATGTAAAT